GGTAGGAGAGAAGGTTGGGTTTGATAACATAATCTCTGGCTCGCGAATGAACAAAGCAGTTGTAGTGTTTTTTTGAAAACTGAAGCTTTGGTTGAATAAATTGACTGTGGACGGATTGTGGGTGAAAGAGGCTTTTGTTCCGGTTTCACCGCTGTCTGCCCCAGCTACTAAAATCACAATCTCAAATGTCCGCCGTTTGTTTCCAATGACGTAATTGTAAAAGAACTTCTTCGATATGGGAAAATTGCAAGCCCCATGAGAACGATCCCATTAGGATGCAAAAATGCGGCGCTAAAGCATGTATTGTCCTTTCGACGTCAGATTTTATGTTTCTCAGCTCCCAAGATCGATCTTTAGAAGTTTCCTTTAGAGTTAAACATGAAGATAATTCGTACATGGTGTACGCGAGTACGGAGAGTTTGAAATGTTTTGATTGTGGCGATGTCGGACATAGCGCTTCTCGTGTCCGCATAAAGTGCGTGATGAACCGAGTGCATCTAGAGATGAAGAATCAAAATGGGAATCTCAAGTGATTGAAAGGAATAAACAAGACTCTGTACTGACTGATAGAGTGACGGAGGAGGAGGTGAAGGAACAAGAGAAGGTGAGTGCTGTTGTTCTAAAGCGTTGATAATGATCAGCCTGGGTGCAGTTATGCTGTTGGAAAGCCTGCTAGTGCTTGTGGAGTTACTGATATAAGGTGGTGAATGAATGCAGGTGTAGAAGATGTGCAACAACACTCTTTAGTAACTCAGGCAAAATGTTCAGAAGAGGATACAGGTGAAGAAATGGATGGTTTATCTCAAAGTACTGAAGATGGTGTGAGAGATGAACAGTGGGCTGAGATGGAAAGAGCAAGAGAAAGTGATTTGTACACCGTTGACCAGATTAATAGTTTTCTGGATGAAACTAAAGGGAAAGCAGGAGTAGAAATTGTTGATTTCTTTCCTGATCTTGAGAAATTTGTTTCTTCGGTAGCTTGGGCTCGAAAAATGACTAGTTGCACCGAGCTCTCTCAGCAGAAAAGGTTTCGGCTTAAGAAATATATCACATCTGCTAGGCAAAAATTGAAACTGGTTGGCAAAGAACCACTAACGAGGGGGAACGCTAAAGACTCATAATGGGATACACTTTTTATTTAATTTTTCTTTTCTTTCTTTCCCCCCCCCCTCTCTTTCTGATGGAGATCTTAAGAGCAGGATCACTAAATGTGAATGGGATGAGGGATATGAAAAAAAGTGTATTTATTTCTGAAATTATTAATTTGAAAGAGTTAAATGTCATTTTTTTGCAAGAAACTCACAGCGATTCAGACAATGAAGTTGATTGGGGGCTATGGTGGAGGGGAGAGCATTTTCTTAGTCATGGAAATAATTTAAGTGCTGGGGTAGCAATTCTTTTTGCCCCTTCTCTCAATTGTAGTATTTTGTGGAAAAATGAATTGGTACCGGGAAGACTTTTGATTGTTAGAGCTGAAATACACAATATGAATTTCATTTTTGTGAATATTTATGCTCCAAATATAGGCATTGAGAGAACAAGGCTCTTTTTTAAACTAGAACAGTTCTTAAGACAACAAGATGATAGAGATTTTGTAGTTTGTGGTGGAGACTGGAACTGCACCTTAGATTTTATAAAAGATAGGACTGGGGAAGAACCACATCAAATGTCAGCTACTTGTCTTGCACGACTAGTAAAGAATTTTCACTTATCAGATGTATGGAGAGAAAGTAATCCATTAGTTACACAGTACTCTTGGGTGAGTTTTACTAATAATATATTTTCTGCTGCTCGTTTAGATCGGTTCTACTTATCTCATAATATGAGGAACAGGCTTTTGAATTCAAACATTACTCCTGTCCCTTTTTCAGATCATAAACTAATCACAGTTGAATGTAGTCTCATAACACAAGCTTATAAAACTTCTTATTGGCATTTCAATGTTAAATTGTTAGAAGACACTATCTTCTGTGAAAACTTTAAGAATTTTTGGGAAGTTTGGAAGAATGAGAAAGGAAAATATGACAACATTATTCAATGGTGGGAGATTGGGAAAGTGTTTATTAAGGATTACTGCCAACAATATTCTTCTCTTTCTGCTTCGTGTTTAAAGAAAACTTTGGAGAGCTTGGAGAAAGAACTTAATATTATTGAAGGGAATATGACTGTAAATGCTTCTCCTAATTTGAAGGATATGTGGTCGGAAAAGAAAAACTGTTTGAATTTAATCCTTGATGAAAAAGTCCAAGGAGAACTTGTAAAAAATCGGTTTCTAACAAAAAGAGACATAGATGCTCCTACGTCCTTCTTTTTTAACTTAGAACGGAAAACTAAGTATGGAAAAAAGATATTGTTTTTAAAAGATAAGGATGGACATCTTGTTTCAGACCCGGAAAGGATGCGCAGACTGGCAGTGGATTTCTATACTGAACTATATTCTGCTGAGTCTTTGGATGAGCAATGTAGACATGAACTTTTACGAGATCTTCCTGAGATATCTACAGAAAAACAACAGCTTTTGGAAGCACAGCTTACTTTTAATGAACTGACCTCAGCAGTAATGGATCTCTCATCAGGGAGGGCACCAGGGATTGATGGACTTCCTGCAGAATTTTATAAACACTTTTGGACTGTTATTGGTCATGATTTTTTTGAAGTTGTGCAGAAATGTGTAAGTGAAGGATGTCTAACAAGAAGTTGTCAGCGTGCTGTCTTAACATTACTTCCAAAAAAGGGAGATTTGACGCTACTAAAAAATTGGAGACCTGTAGCTCTCTTATGTTCAGAGTATAAGATTCTCTCTAAGTGTCTTGCTAAAAGGTTAAATGATGTATTACATGAAATTATTCACACAGACCAATCATATTGTATAAAGGGCAGATCTATTGCAGATAATTTACATCTGATGCGGGATCTGTATGACTATGCTTTTTACAACAATGTTGATATTGGGTTTTTGGCTATGGACCAAGAGAAAGCCTTTGACAGAGTTGATCATCATTTTCTTTTTGAGACTCTTAAGGCTTTTGGATTTGGAGAAAATTTAATTTCATGGATAAAATTACTTTATAATGAGGCAACTTGCTTAATAAAAATAGGTGGGGGTCTCAGTGTCCCAATAAAGGTTCAGAGGGGTATAAGGCAAGGTTGCCCCATTTCAGGGCAGCTTTATAGTATTGCTTTTGAGCCATTACTCTGTAAATTAAGAAGAGAATTAACGGGGCTGCAAATCAGAGAAATAGATTCTTCACAGGTGATTAAAATGTCTGCATATGCAGATGATCTTACGGTCATAATAAGAGGTAATCAAGACATTAATGTTCTGAAAAAGTGTTTAGAAACTTATGAAAAAGCCTCTTCTGCGAAAGTTAATTGGGGCAAAAGTGTGGCAGTGTGGTGTGGGCATGACAATAATGGTCCCATCCTTCCTGGAGAGCTGCAGTGGGGAAGGGAAGGTTTTAAATATTTAGGAGTGTTTTTAGGATCTGTAGAGTATAGGAAAAAGAATTGGGAGGGACTAGTGGAGAAAACATGTGTTCGGTTATCTCGATGGAAATGGTTGCTCCTCCGGTTATCCTATAGGGGTAGAGTCTTGGTCTGTAACAATCTCATTGCTGCTACTTTATGGCATAAAATGATGATATTAGAACCTCCAGAAGAACTGATGGTGGACATTCAGAAAAAAATAGTTGATTTCTTTTGGTCTGGGTGTCACTGGCTGAAAGCACCAGTACTTTATTTGTCCAGGACGGAGGGAGGTCAAGGACTTATCGACATCAGATCCAGAATTAAAGCCTTCAGACTCCAGACAGCTAAAAGACTACTGTATGGTAAAGAAGTGAGCTGGTGTGGCGTAGCCCGTGGCCTCCTGAGAAGAGCAGGTGGAATGGGTTATGATCGTCAACTTTTCCTAATGGACATTAACAAGCTGGACTTAACTGGTCTGTCATCGTTCTACAGGTCATTGTTGAGAGCGTGGACTCTTTTAAAAGTCTGCAGAGATCTAAATGGTGAACAGAGCCAGTGGTTACTGGAAGAGCCCTTGATCTTTAACCCAAAAATTGATTTGGATGTTTTAAAATCAACTTCTGTGAGGCATGCTTTATGTTCTGCAAAAATTTTAAAGATTGAACACTTATTGAATGAAGATGGATGGATTTCTGCAGAGACTCTGGCTACCAAGCTTGGCATAAAATCAGTCCGAGTTGTGCAGAGGCTGTTGAACCATCTTTATGAGTGCATGCCAGTGGACTATAGAGACTCTTTATTTTTGCACAAAAAAGAAAATGCAGTTTATTCTTTCCCGGAACTGGATATCACAGCGGCGACTGGATTGTGGCAAGAGAGTCAAGGCGGAATTTTATCCTTCAAGACCCCTCAACTGGGGAGTTTCAGAGAAATTGGGAAAAAAGCTATTTATATGCTCTGTGTAAAAGTTCTTCATCTTCATGCACTTGAAAATGTAAAAGAGACTAAATGGACAGATTTTTTTGGACCAGACTCTTCCCCGAAAGGTTGCTGGAGGACCATGTACAAACCCCCCATTGAAAAAAGGTCTGGAGATCTACAGTGGCGCGTTGTACATGGTATTATAGCTACAGACAGATACAGAGCACATTTTGATCCACTAGCGGGGATGGGATGTCCGTTCTGTGAACAGCAGGAGACTGTTTTTCATTTGTTTGCTGACTGTAGTAGATTATTGCCTCTCTTTGAAATTCTTGGAGGCTGGTGTCAAACATTAGGAGAAGATTTCACACTTGAGTTGTATGTCTATGGACCCAAATACAAACGCAGCAAGAGGGAGATCTGTCATCTACTCAATTTTATTTTCGGACAAGCAAAGTTAGCTGTTTGGCTCTCTCGTAAAAATAAAATAGGGGCTATGGGACAAACTGACGTGGTACTGATTTACAAGGGTTTGATGAAGTCAAGGTTGAAAATAGAATTTGAATACTATCACCTGAATGAGAATATTGAAAGATTCAATTTGACATGGGCTATTAATAAGTGTATTTGTGATGTTGACTACAATGGTGATTTACAATTATATGTATAATATTACATGATGATTATGCTTGTAAAAGGTTTATAGGTGGTTGTTATTTATTGTTTTCTTTGTTGGTGAAATAATTGATTGAAGCTTGATTTTAATTTTTTGTAATTAAAGGTGTTTCAAAAGTCTCTCTCTCTCTCTCTCTCTCTCTCTCTCTCTCTCTTCTCTCTCTCTCTCTCTCTCTCTCTCTCTCTCTCTCTCTCTCTCTCTCTCTCTCTCTCTCTCTCTCTCTCTCTCGCAAACACATTGACAGCGGACGAGTCTGTGTATTGAATCGGTTAGTATCATAAACAACGCTGCACAGATCCATCCAACATGCTCTCAACCTTGAAAAAAGGTTATCAGCAAGTAAGAAGCCTAGCTGGTTAATAAGGAGAGCTATGCAAACCTAATAAAACCCCGCCGCGCTTGCCACAGTTTTTTTTAACAGTGTGGTAAATCAGACACATCGGTAGAAAAACATTCTTGTTTCCAATTTTTGTTCAACGGTTCTGGTAGTGTCACATTTCAGTTTGGCTAAGTAACATTTCTTTTCTTTGACTGGCAAGAAATACCAGCTGATACTAAGGTTATGTACTTGTTATTGTCCATCGGAAGTTAATTTTGGGCCAGATTAATGCACATGCGCAGTACCGTTTGTTTATGTTGTTACTGCTGATATAGTTTGAAGATGTGGCGCATGACATGATTTTAAAACAAGCTTGATATTCCTCTCTTTAGATCAGACTTCTTTACAGGACACCATCTTTACTGTAGAGGACAATGACCATCAGGAAACTCCTTCCAGTAGTCCTGAAGTCCCCCACACTGCCGAAAACCAGCAAGTGGAGGACACCAAGCCTCAAGATCAGGACAGTCCAGCCTGTACATCATCAGGTGACACTGGATCACATCTGCTGAGACAGCTGGACTGTGACAAGATCGTGAGGACCAAGGGTGAGTTTACTGTCTGACATTCAAACATGGCACTCTCTCTCTTCCCAACATTATTTTTAAAGTGAATATGTATAAAGGAAACTAAAGCATATGTTTTAAATATGGCAGCTGTTTTTAAGGTTTCTTTTAGTTTTTTTATTCCTCCACAATTTTAAATCACCATTTTTTTTTTAATTTTCATTTCACTTAAATAGTCATACGACAAATGAATTTTTAAAAGCACGAATATTACTAAAATATTTACCGATTAACATTTCATCAGAAAGTATGGAAAACTGCTTTATTACACAGTAAACAAATAAAAATTATTCTGTTTTAATAGATCCCATTTGCTGGAAATATGCCATTGGCAAGAAATTGGGGGAAGGAGGATTTGGCTCTGTGTTCGAAGGAACCCGTTGCAAGGACGGCCTCATAGTAGCTGTGAAATTCACAGCGAAGACAGGGAACGAGCAATACATCCACCTTGTACGTAGACTGTGCTCTCTATGTTTGCAATTTATAACATTTTTATGTAAATCTTATATATTTCAATAGATAGACAGACTGGGCTAAATCCTTATTTGAGAAACCAATCCTTTATCTAAAAATAATAAAAACTTTCTTGATATTTATTTTTTTTATTTTTTTATTTATTTCACAATAATTCAGTACATTTTACTTCAACAAAAGCAGTTGTTGGGGCATGAATAATATAGACAGAAGCAGTATAAATTATGCAGTACATCACACATTACAATTGCAACTACTACAATAGCACGCCATAGTTCAATGTAACTTTCCCAACAACTGATTAGGAAAAACAAATATATGCTATTGTGAAAATGGATCCCCAAGAAGCAATAGCTTATAAATAGGGGTCCATCCCACCACCAACACCTCCCCACCCACCTAACATTGGTGACCAGAGCGGACCGACTTAGATGCCATTAGCAAATAAACTTTAAATTATGAGTATTTGGAATACAGTTACTTTCAAGAGATAAAAACAGACAGTCATTGTACCTTTGTTCTTCAAATTAAATTTATCCTCATACCAAAGGATAGGGGTTCCCTCAATACCCTCAATTATACCTCTCCAGTAATTGTTGCTTTAATTTCTTTTTGAATATTGCTAAAGAGGCAGATTGTTTTAAATTAGGGTCGAGCTCATTCCATAATTGTGGGCCCCTGTAACATACACTAAACCTAGCCCTTGTTAGGTTCCTGCATTTCCCTTTCAAGAGCAGCTTATGTCTAGTGTTATGTTTGTGTGAAGATGTATATAATGGGATGAGCTCACATAATCCAGTATTTAACCTGTTGACAACATTGTATATTATGCATGCATTATGATAATAGTTACGTTCAGGAAGCTTTAGTAGGCCATATCTATGGAAGAGAGCGTTCGTATGTGAGTTGTATGTAGACCATGTAATAGCTCTAATGGCTTTCTTTTGTAGCATGAGGAGTTTCACAGTATAAGTAGGGCAAGTATTATTCCAAATAATATTACAATAAATCAAGTGAGGCTCAAACAAAGTCCTATATAAAGACAAGAGTACATCCAATGGGAGCATATGTCTTATTTTGAAGAACAAACCGACAATTTTAGATAGTTTTTTAACCAATTCATTAATATGTTCCTTGAAGTTTATGAATTGATCTATATGTAATCCAAGAAATTTGATTGCGTCCACTCTTTGAATAGCTCTACCATCTATAATTAAATTAATGTCACAATCGTTATACATCTGGATACCAGATCGAAAAACAATATAAAAAGTTTTACTAGTGTTCAGCGATAGTTTGTTACATTTAAACCAGATATCTATTTCTGTTAATCTGTCGTTTAGGAGTTTTTCGAGATGATTTAAGTGTTTGTGGGACACAAACAGATTTGTATCATCAGCAAAGAGTATTTTATGAACGTCACTAGAACAATATACAAAATCATTAATGTAAACAAGGAACAATAGAGGCCCCAGTATAGATCCCTGAGGAACCCCAAATACTACATTTTCCAGTCCAGAGTCAACATCATTTAGACTAACATATTGCCGTCTTCCATAAACATAGTCCCTGAACCACTGGAGAGCCACACCCCTGACACCATAATGCGAAAGTTTACCAAGTAAAATTTGAAAATCAATCGTGTCAAATGCTTTTGAGAGGTCGAGAAAAACCCCAATACCGGCTTCTTTTCTCTCAAAAGCATCATTTATTTTCTCTACGAGATCTAAAATGGCCATACTTGTACTTTTATTTTTCCTAAAGCCATATTGTGAAGATTCTAATATATTTTGTTTATTTAAGTAGTCTACAAGTCGTGTATAAACCACCCTTTCTAATACTTTAGACAATGTTGGCAGGATGGATATTGGTCTATAGTTTAGAATATCATTTTTGTCCCCAGATTTATACACTGGTATTATCTTTGCCACCTTAGCTTGTTTAGGAACTATGCCATACTGCAATGATAAATTAATTATGTGAGCCAATGGCTCAGCTATTTCATTTACTATGGCTTTAAGGATCTTACTACAGATTCCATCAACACCAGCTGTATACGAGCTTTTAATTTTATTAATAATGTTTGTAACTTCCAATTTACAGGTGGGTCTAAAGTAGCAAGAACTGGGATAATTATTCCTCAAGAATGTTTTATAATTGACATCCCCTGTAGGACCACATTGTTGAGACAGATTCTTTCCAACAGAGGAAAAATGTCTATTAAACAAGTCTGGTAATGTATCATTATATAATTGGGTTGGCACATCAATGTCAGGGATAACTGAGGATTTATTACTGCGGCCAAGTATCTCATTCAACACCTTCCAAGATTTATTTTGATCCCCCGAGGCAGTTTCCAAACGATCAGCAAAATATCTCGCCTTACTGTTTCGTATTAAACTTGTTAGTTTATTCTTATACTGTGTATATAATATTCTATTATTGCTGTTCGGATTCTTCCTGTATTGTTTATAGAGTCTATCCTTCTTCTGAATAGACTTTAAAATTCCTTTGGTGATCCATGGATGAGTGTCCTTTTTATGTTTAATCACCCTTTCTGGAATAGTCACGCGGATAGCATCGGTTATTACATCAATTAATAAATTAAAAGCCAAATTGGGATCTGTGGCATTGTATATTTCATCCCATCTTTTATTTTGGAGGTGTTGAATTAGATTTGCAAGTGATTTGTTATTAATAACCTTTACCTTCCGTTTGGTACATGGATCTGATACTCCTTTTATCCAATTTGTAAAGAACACAACAGGGTAATGATCCGAGATATCAGAAAGTATTACTCCCGATTTACAACCCATGTTTTGTAAATTTGTTATAATATTATCTATTTTAGACCTACTGTTCTCTGTTACCCGTGTGTGTTTATCTATAGTCGGATAAAATGATGAGGAGTAAAGGGTATTTAAAAAATCAATTCCTCTATTATCATCATTTGAAATGTCGATATTAAAGTCACCCATGATAATACTGTTTTTATTCGTCTGATTTATACAGAAAAGGAGATTATCAAAATGGTATCTAAATGTATCATAGTCAGAATTTGGTGGTCTATATACTACTCCAATGATGATACATGCACCACTCTCCATTTTGACTTCTAGGAATAATGAATCACTGTGACCATCAGCCACTGTCAAATCATGACGTTCCTTCACTGAATAATGAGAATTCACATACAAGCACACCCCTCCTCCAATTTTACCCTGCCTATTAATATAATATAGTGAGTATCCATCTATTTTATAGATATCTAAAAAGGTTTGCTCACTCATCCAAGTTTCACTACAACCTATGATATCAAAGCTTTTCCCTGTACTAGCAAGAAGTGCAACAAGGTCATCATAATGCTTTTTAAGACTTCTAATATTTAGATGCATTAGAGAAAAGGAGAAGTCATTAATATGTTTCAACTCTCTGGGGTTGTAATAATCACAGCTTGTATTGGTAGAGGTACAAAGGTAATGTTCAAATTTCTCATATTCAGTACTACAATTTATGTCTTTCACTCCCATTGTTTTGTAATAAGATTATGTTTCCGGTTGTGAAAAATACATTCCATACACAAAACCCGGTCCATATTCTTTCATTTCCATTCCTTTAGTCACCCTGTGAATAAGAAAAAAAGCAAAACAAAACAAAAAACAAACAAAAAAAGAAAATTGGACATCCATAACAGTCATAATGTCCAGTTACCAACTCTCCATTTATGATGTGAATGTGTATTGTATAACACCCACTGTGCCCCCAATCGCGCATGTTCATCAATGAGCATAAAGGGGGCAATATATCATAGTCACATTGATAAAGAAAACTACTTTACCAGTCAAGTGAGGGTAGAAAGGAAAGCTTCGGCCTCATTAGAGTCCTTAAATGACTTCTGCACATTGTTTACCTTGAAGAATAGAGTAGCTGGATAAGCCATCCTGAAGCGTATGTTCATCCTTATAAGCTCAGCACAGACCGTGTTAAACGCGCGTCTCGCAGCCCGAATATCTTTCTTCATTCTTCTAGCCTGACCATCCAAGACCTCTTCCACTTGAGGTGGCCCTGACAGTAATGGCCAATCAAGGCCCACACTGTCGCCATATTATAAAGCTGCTGGAGTGGCAGGACCATCTCGACCAGTTCATCATGGTCCTAGAACGGCCCTTACCCTGCATGGACATGCACAGCTTCTGGAAGCTTTCCGGATGCTGCTTCAGTGAGAAATTGGCCCGTCATTTCATGCGGCAGGTTATTGAGGCTGCTGTCATGTGCTGTACCAGGGGTGTCCTACACAGAGACATCAAGATGCAGAACCTCCTGGTCAACACAAAGACCCTGGAGGTCAAATTGATCGATTTCGGCTGCGGGGACCTCATGAAACGCTCCGCCTACAAAAAGTACTCTGGTATGTGTTATCTTTAAAACATATATTTTAGGATTTAAACTCTAGTGATTAGTTACACCATGTTGAAAGCAGACATTTACAATCTCTTATCTCCAGGCACAGAAAGCTATTGCCCTCCAGAGTACTTTGAAAAGGGCAAGTACCATGGGAAGAAGGCAACGGTGTGGTCGCTGGGGGTGCTGCTGTTTGCCATGATCAGCCGCCGTTTCCCAGACAGAGGAGATATCGCTTCGATGGACTCTGATGTCTGGTTCAAGCCGAACTTATCAGATGGTTAGTACAAAAAAACATGTTCTTATGGATAATGCAGGAATCTTTCCCATTTTTACAGCTTAGAGAGCAAGTGTAAAGTTGAAGGAAATAACTAGAAAACTCTCAATCTTTCTGCACAGAATGCTGCCGGTTTATTCGAGGTTGCCTGAAGAGCAACCCAAAGCGGAGACTCCATCTGGATAAGATGCTCTCCCATGACTGGTTAAGGTACAGTGTAAAAGACAAGCTAAAATGATTTTGAAGATATATGTACATTACATTTTTGTTAACTTAGCTTGATTATCTGAATATGGACATCAGCTTCTTTACATTACCATTCAGTACCTGCTGTAACTGTCATATATCCAATCCTTATACATGGCATAAATGTATTTTTTTATACCTTATGAAAAATGCTTTCTAATTGTTTTTCAGGTCATGGAAAGGGTTGCATCTGGTGGGCTGAAACAGAAGACCACTCCATCTCTCCAGCCTCAGCGTCTTGCGGGGCTGGCTGGCCTCGGTTGCGTCTGGCGCCTTGGTTTGAGGCGGTAGTTTTAGCGTCTTGCGGAACTACTTGCCTAGGGATGTGTGCTTCTTGTAAATAGTTAGTTTAGTTTTACTTAGTTAAGTTAGCTCCTCCATCTCTCCTGCCTCAGCGTCTTGCGGGGCTGGCTGGCCTCGGTTGCGTCTGGCGCCTTGGTTTGAGGCGGTAGTTTTAGCGTCTTGCGGAACTACTTGCCTAGGGATGTATATTGTAAATAGTTAGTTTAGTTTTAGTTAAGTCCTGCACCATCCAATCATATTTTTGACAATGGAGTCAGCCAGAGCTCTCTGTTCAGCCCGTCCCACAAGTTCCTCGTACTGACGCCCTGGAAGTCTCTGCCACTGTTATCCGGGTCCCAGAGAAGGGGTTTCATATAGCTCTCTTTCTCAGCTGCCTTGGGCCCAGAGATCCTGTCAGGGCTTCTCCAGAATTACCAGTGAAGACGGCCATAAAGTTTCCTGTCACTGCTGCTCCAAAACCTGCTGAGGCTCGACAGAAACACTGTGAAGGTTCATTCTGCTGCAACTCCAGTCCCTGCTACGGTTCTAGAGCTCCGTGTCAAAGAAGCTCAGGTTGCAAAGTTTCCCAGAGGTTCCTCACATGACTACAAGTTTCCTCCTTTTGGTGCAGAGGTTCATGCCACAGTTGCTAAAGAAGTTCCAGCCAAATTACATATGTAACCCTGGGATTTCTACTCACAGTTAAACAAAAGTATTTAGGACCTTAATGATAATGTTTCGGGTACTGAATTACATAGTTCTTTACAATGTCTTTATGGGTATCTACCCCTTTAAGAGCATCATTTAGCCTGATAGTTTGGTTGTAATTTACATGTGAAAAACGTGGGTTTTACCAACAAGTTAGTGTTTGTCCGTTATTCATTGGTGAATTATTGAATAAGCCCACCTTATATCTACGTAATGTGAAGTTTGATTGGTTCTTGGGAAGGAACACGACAGGAGGAAACATGGTTTACTAGGCTGAGGATAGGACATACAGGACTGAACAGTAATTTACATAGAATAGGGAAGCATGAGACAGGTGTGTGCCCATATTGTGAGGAAATAGAAACTGTGACGCATGTACTTTTGATATGTAGGCAGTATCATGGAGAGAGAGAAAAGATTAAGAGGGTAACAAAATCTGTTAATTTAAGCAACTTGTTGAAAATACCAGGGATACAGTCTACAATAAAAGCAGTGATAGAATTTCTTAAAAGAACACAGTTAGCAAAAAGAATTTAGCCTTAGTGTTTATTTTAGTTTTATTTTCTATGGAGGTTGAGTCGAGGTTGAAGCTGGAGGAGCTAAACACGTAGCGCCAGCTGAAGCTTGGGCTCTAACTCTCTGTTATTTATATTTATTAATTTTTCTCTCCCAATGTGATCACACCCATTCCAGTAGATGGCGGTAATGCACATAGCTTGCAAACTGCCAATAAAAATCACAGAAGAAGAAGAAGAAGTTCTTGGGAAGGGGGAGGGAAAAGGAGAGAGAGTCGAGTCGAGGCGAAGGAGGAAGGTGTGTGTCGAAGCGCGCCGATGTATGTGTGAGAGAATCACGATTAATCCGAATAGGATTGATTGATTTTATTTCTTTGAGCAACGAAAAGTATTGAAACTATCAGAAAAGTATTGATTTAGCAGCATTGATTTTGTTTCGTAAGGTTTGCCGGCTGTAAACTGAACGCTGAGTTGATTTTCTGTTTAGCCGTACACTTGTGTGAGTTCCGGGCAAGTTAGTGCTTACTACACATGAAATAGTGACTAAGTAGCTAAATACTAAAGTGGACTTTAAATACCAGCATGAATAGCCGTGATAAGGAGAAGCTGCACGATCCAGGTAGCGCCCTGAATCACCGAGAGGTTCAGGGTTCCCCTGGCAACGGGGGATTGCGAGGATCGCCAGGACGCGCATATCAGTGAGAACTGAGTGATTAAAGTTTCCTAACGAGGGAGGACTTTCCACTACGGAGTTGAGGTAGCACCTTTAATATTTATTTGGCTCTTTGGAGTGAAGCGGCCAATTATCCTTTTGTTTGCGGTCACAACGCACTCGAGCAACGGTTACAGGCCTGCAACGAGGGGTGAGCGTGATTGTGTGTGTGTGTGTGTGGGCCCACTAAAGTTAATGTGATTATTTGTCAAATTATAACTGCCGTTTATTTTCCTGAGGGGTGTTTGAATTATTATTATTCATTTTCTGTTAAAGGGAAGTTTCATTTAGCCTATTTGTAAATATATAGGCATTTAAAAAGTGTAAAATCATATTGAGAGACATTTGATTTATTATTGGGTAGCAGAGTCATACTCAACTGTAATTCATATTCATTTGTGATTGATATTCAATTCTAAAAGTACATTAATCTGAGAAATTGTGTATAATTTTAGGATCCCAACCGACAATTTTAAAATAGACAGCATTGTAATTTAGGCCTACTGTTTATTTATCCTCCTTTTTGTTTCAAATTTTCCATTTTTTTATTTAATTTCATGTTTTTGTTAATAAACATTTTAATCGTTTACTTGAAGTGATTTCATCCAGTCTTACTGATTGGTTTGTTTGGAAGTTAAATTGAATATTTCTTTTGGGATTAAGTTATTCTCATAAAATGCCTGATTATAGCTAAACTGAGGAAATAGGGAGTTGTGCTAAAGGGTGTTAAGTGAGTTCCCTTATAGTTTAGTCGAGAGACTACAAAATTCGAACCTGAGTACCCGCCCTAATAGCTCAAGTACGTCATAATTGAGAGGGAAGAGGGTGCTACATAAAGTGGTGGCCCGTACGGGGAATTTTCTTTTCGTTTCCCCCTAGTTATAAATAACTTAAACTCCCTCATTATATTAACCTTGTACTGTTCTATCCTTTCTTGTGGTGATGGATTTGAGTGGAAACCCTGAGCTTCGAGCAGAACTGACCTCATGGTGCAAAGAAGCTGTGTTGGATGAAAATCATGCCCTTTTGCTGGTAGGGGTTCCCGCTGATGCTGACGTGGCCTATATAGAGGATGTAGCTTAAACAGTGAAAGCTTGGGGAAGAGTACGAGTAAGAGCTACTAAAGCGGGTGTTAACCCCGATACTTTGAAAGTATTATGTGAGTGTCGGGAATTGGTTAGCACATCGACTGTCCCACCACTATTGCTCCCTGAGGAGGGGGGGGGGATCCCTGGAAAGTGGTCATAGTTCAGGGGTGTGACCCATCTCCGTCAGAGTTTGCAGAAAAGCTGGCAATGTTCCTCGCTAATGAAGGGAAGTCCATGAAGGATTTGCAATCTTTAGTTTCTCCTTCCGGTCACAATGTTGGTTCTCCTGAGTCGTTAATCCGGGCTGTGGGGGACCTGTTGGACAAAACAGGCAGACAAACCACTGACAGTAGTGCATATAGACGGTTACGTACTTTTTCTGGTTCTGTTCCAACACCAACAGGAGAAGAAAATATGGAGAACTGGATGGACCAAGCTCGCATGATTATCTCAGAGTGCGAGTGTTCTGAGAAAGAGAAGAGAAGAAGAATTGTGGAGAGCTTAAAGGGGCCTGCTCTTGATATTGTGAGATTTTCGAGTCCAGAAGCTAATGCGCTACAGTATCTAGAAGCTTTAGAAAGTACTTTCGGAACCTCTGAATCAGGCGAAGATTTGTACTTTGCTTTCCGTCTTCTTCGCCAGTGTCATGGTGAAGCACTGTCTGATTTCCTTCGCAGAGTAGAGAAATCACTAACCAAAGTGGTACAAAGAGGTGGACTGTCTCCACAGATGGTGGATAGAGTGAGAGTAGAGCAATTGATAAGAGGCGCCGTGGAGTCAGACCTGATGCTTCTACAGTTAAGGCTGCGAGAGAGAAAAACTCAACCACCTACCTTCTTAACTTTGTTAAATGAGATCAGAGAAGCAGAAGAGAGTGAAGCCGCCAGACGGAAAATCAAAGCTACTGTAAAGACAGTCCAGAGTCAGGAACAAAACCTCAGCTTTGCAGTTGTAAGCGAGTTAAGAGCAGAGATCCAGGCCTTAAAAACCCGATTATGTGATGAATCTCCAAAAATTTAAAATGCTCCCAGCCTGATGGAGTCAAAAGTTAAGCCTACTAAGAGAAGTGTGGAGACACCATCAGATGAAGTCGAAGCCCTGAAACAACATACAACAGCTGCAGCAGAAGTTAGGAGTAATGAAAGTAGGATATGGTTTACCAGTAGACCATGCTTAGCAACAGCAACCAAAACCTGTTTCTGTTCATTCAAGGACCAGATCTTCCACTGATAGGGAGGATTTCTTCTGTTACCAGTGTGGGGAAGATGGGCACATTGCCACAAAATGTAAAGCTCCTGAGAATCTTCCTCTGGTTATTCAGAAACTGGTCCGTTCGCTAAGGAAGGCGAAGAGTGGAAGGAATGATGCCTCTGGAGACAGTTCTAAGGTTGGGAATCATGATTGTTATACTGCAATAGGGCTGAACGATTTTGGAAAATAATCGAATTGCGATTTTTTTTTTAACCAATATTGCGATTGCGATTTAATATGCGATTTAAAAAAAAAGTTATTTACCTTCTGTATTAGTCGACAAAGACAAGCAATAAATCATTGTACAGTATGGATGGGAATCTTTAGATAGCTCATGATCCGATCTACTTTTTTTCTTATTAATTAATCTTAATAACTTTTAAAATATGTATTTAATTACATGTGTAAAAACACATACTTTAAAAAATAAATATAAAAAAACATTTAATTAAAGCAATTACATGTTAAGAATTTTAAATAGGCTATATAAAATAATATAGCTTCAAAATATAAAAGCTAGTAAATAAAGAGAAACAAAAAAAACAAACATTACAAGCAATAAAGAAAGAGTGGTCTCTGTATTTAAAAGTAGGCTGTCTGAATGTTTTTCATTCAAGAGCTGGAGTGATTTCCCCTCAGTTTAGATACGATAAGCTGCATTCACACTAATGCATATATCTCTTTTGAAATTGTAAATGTGGTTTGTCCTGTTGGTTTAAGATATAACTGACCGTGTTTACATTAATTTCGCGTCATAAAAGCATTTTGACATGCAAGTACATTTACCAATGAGTCACTCACAGTCGCATGCACGAGCGCTCTTCACAAAGCACACGTTAGTATTTTAAAATGAAAGCAGCCTTCTAAGTGATTTTCATGGTTTTAATATATAAGCCAACTGCATTCCAAAAGACATAAATAATGCCTCTGTGAAGCATTTGTAAAGAAAATTCCCGCGGGAGAGAACGCGCACTGCAAGTGTAATGTTATAACATCAAGCAAAGCGGCAAAACCTGTTCAATGAAGCTCGCGAATGTCCTTGTAATTCGGTTCAATCCCGAACTTTATGAAATAACGTTACTATGTTTTGGAAGGTTCGAGCGGTGTGTGTGTGTGAGTGAGGAAGAGAGAGAGCGAGAAAATAGAAGCAAGCAGATTCAGAACACGGTTCGTTTCTAAAGCACGCGCAGCGTCATCACGCATCTGTGAATATAAACTAAGCTCATACTCGATTCTGAAATTCTCTGAATCGATCCAGGATTGTTGAGGAGAGGAGAGAATAAATAACACAATAAACTGTTCTTTTCTGAACGCCAGATCGCGTAGCGTGGCAAGTTGATGCTTTATCTTGCAGACTGCTTTTCTCTCGCGTGTCACGTGACCAGTATAATCGCAGCTCTTGCGATTACAAAATCGCGTTTCATCATATCGCGATTTTATCGCAAATGCAATTAATCGTTCAGCCCTATTCTGCAAGAAGTCAGGTTCATATCTCAGGAGCAAACTGTCTTCCAAAGGGACTGGTGGGTCCCTCATCCACTGTGTCAGTGAGGATAAATGGACATCCATGCAAAGCAATGCTAGACAGTGGGTCTCAGGTCACAATTGTTTTGACTCATGGTATTCCAAATACCTATCTGATGTGCCTCTACAGCCTCTGCATGGACTTTCAATTTGGGGATTGAGCTCCTCCAGCTACCCGTACAAGGGGTACATAGTGATTGATGCTTTATTTCCTGTTTCCATTACTGGAGTGAAAGAGTCTATCTCCATTTTGGCCTTGGTTTGTCCTGATCCCCAAGGGTTCCAGCAAGTCCCTGTGATAATAGGGACGAATTCCAGTTTCTTTGGGAGATTGGCTGCATTGAGGGGAGACCTTAACATTCCTCATGTGTTGCAGGCCTTACGGATCCAGACCAACTTTCCTGATGTTGGCTTAACTGAACAGCCAGAAGCAAGAGTCAAATGGGTGGGACCCCGTGCTCTTATTGTTCCTCCGAGAGGTGAGGTATATGCGGAATGTAAGATGGAGTATAAAAAACCATTGAAGAAGGACATTTTTGTGGTTGAAGCCACGGCTGATGACCAATTACCTGCAGGACTATTCATTCCCCCTGTGGTGCTGTCTTTCTCAGCTATAAACATGGACACCTTTCAGCTGCCCTTGCATAATGAAACATCTAAGGAAGTCGCTGTACCACCTGGCACTGTCCTTGCTCACATGTTTCCAACTGATACGGTCACCGAGACTTGTAGAGAGAGAAGCAAATCGAGGATTGACCCAGACTTGTTTAACTTTGGCAAATCTGGCATTCCTTTTGAATGGGAAAGGAGGTTGCGCCAAAAGCTGTCGGAACGGAACAATGTGTTCTCACTTGAGGAGTGGGACGTGGGATTAGAAAAGGGTGTGACGCATCACATTCAGTTAAATGACCCCAGACCATTCAGGGAGAGATCCCGTCGTATAACACCTGCCGACATTGATGATGTGCGTCGACACATAAAAGACCTGCTGGCCGCGGGCATAATAAAAGAGTCTCGAAGTCCCTACGCCTCTCCCATTGTAATCGCAAGGAAAAAAAATGGAAGTGTGAGGATGTGCATTGACTATCGGACACTCAACAGTCGAACTATCCCTGACCAGTATACAACCCCGAGGATAGATGAGGTGTTGGATTGTTTGTCTGGTAGTAGATGGTTTACAGTATTGGACTTGCGAAGTGGTTACTATCAGGTGGAGATGGCAGAGGAGAGCAAGGACAAAACTGCATTCATATGTCCGTTGGGGTTTTACCAGTTTGAGCGCATGCCACAGGGAGTTACGGGAGCCCCGGCGACGTTCCAGCGGCTAATGGAAAAGGTAGTAGGAGACATGCATTTGCTGCAGGTTATTGTCTATCTGGACGACTTGATTGTGTTCGGTCGTACGCTGGAAGAACACGAGGAGAGACTGTTCAAAGTGCTTGACCGTCTTGAGGAGTTCGGGTTAAAAGTGTCCATTGACAAATGCCAGTTCTGTCAAGAGGAAGTCAAGTACGTAGGACATATTGTTTCTGCTTCCGGAATTGCCCCAGACCCAGAAAAGGTGGAAGCGGTCACCCGTTGGAAAATGCCGACTGATCTCAAGTCCCTGCGGTCTTTTTTGGGATTTTGTGGGTTTTACCGGCGCTTTATTAAGAATTATTCCGCAATTGTAAGACCACTGACAGACCTCACTAAAGGTTATCCACCAGTAAAAGGGAAAAGAGACGCCACTTCGACAGGGAAGTATTTCAAGGAGGCTGAACCCTTTGGTCACCGTTGGAATCAGACATGTACAGAGGCATTCAGGAAAATTGTTTACTGCCTTACCAATGCCCCAGTCTTGGCTTTTGCGGATTCTACTAAGCCTTATGTGCTTCACGTGGATGCTAGTGCGAATGGTTTGGGTGCAGTCCTGAATCAAGAATACCCGGAGGGGTTGCGTCCTGTGGCTTATGCAAGCCGAAAGTTGAGTTCTACTGAGCAGCGGTATCCGACACACCAACTGGAGTTCCTGGCACTTAAGTGGGCCGTAGTCGATAAGTTTCATGACTACTTGTATGGCGTCAAGTTCGTTGTGAGAACTGATAATAACCCACTCACCTACATCCTGACGAGTGCCAAGTTGAATGCCACTGGACATCAATGGCTTGCCGCATTAGCCACTTATGATTTTAGCTTACAATACAAGCCGGGGAAACAAAATGTGGATGCGGACGTATTGTCTCGATATCCTGCCAGCAAGGAATCTGATGAGTGGGAAGAGATGCCTCAAACAGCAGTGAAGGCTGTAAGTCAGCTAACCAGCTCGTCTCTAGGTGATGAGTCTCCTTCAAGGTTGATCGACCAACTGTGTGTGCCTCCTCAAAGTATACCAACAATGTATGCTTGTCCTGTACAACTCGAAACTGGTCAAATGGAGTGGTGGACAAACGAAGATCTGAGGTCAGCTCAGGACCAAGACCCCATCATTGCTCCAGTAAAAAAAGAAGTGGCTACAAACAAAGTGCTTAACATGCCCAAAAGTTCAAATCCAGCTGTGGCACTGTTACAACGACAAAGCCAAAAATTAACCATCCGAGACAATCTTCTCCATAGAGTAACCACTGACCAAGATGGAAAAGAAAGGTGGCAAATGGTTTTACCTGAGAAGTTCCATCTTCAGCTAATAAAATCCTTGCATGATGATGCGGGTCACTTGGGGGTGGAGCGGACTGTTGAACTGCTAAGAGATAGGTTCTACTGGTCTAAAATGAACCGGGACATTGAGCAGTATGTAAAGACTTGTGGAAGGTGTGTGGCCAGGAAAACTTTGCCACAGAGGTCTTCCCCTCTGAATTGCATCACCAGCAGTGGACCTTTAGACCTTGTATGTATGGATTTCCTCTCCATAGAACCTGATTCAAAAGGGATTGCAAATGTCCTGGTCATAATGGATCATTTTACACGTTATGCTCAAGCCTTCCCAACTAAGGACCAAAGAGCTGTGACCGTGGCCAAGATTTTGTGTGAGAAATATTTTGTGCATTATGGGTTGCCTGCACGAATACATTCTGATCAAGGCCGAGACTTTAAAAGTCGTCTCATTAAAGAGCTTCTGGGGATGTTGGGGATCCGAAAATCCCGTACTTCACCTTACCATCCACAGGGCGATCCTCAACCTGAGCGATTCAATCGCACCCTTCTTGCAATGTTGGGCACCCTTGATCCTGCCAAGAAAGCAAAATGGAGCCAACATATTAGCCAGCTGGTGCATGCTTATAATTGTACCAAGAACAAGGCGACTGGTTACTCACCGTACTATCTCTTGTTTGGACGGGAGGCCCGCCTACCTGTGGATCTTTGCTTTGGCACTTCACCTGATGGAGATTATGAAGTTACCTTTCAGCAGTATGTGGAAACAATGAGACATGAACTTCAAGAAGCTTACCAATTGGCTGAGGAGACTTCTTTGAAAAATCATCAAAGGAATAAACAACATTATGACAAGAGAGTGAAACCTCAAATGCTGGAAAAGGGAGATCGTGTTTTCATTCGAAACCTGGCTCAAACAGGAAAGCATAAATTGGAGGACAGGTGGAATTCTGTGCCTTACATTGTAGTGGAAAGGTTAAGGAACTTACCTGTATATAAGCTAAGACTGGAGACAGGAACTGGACGGGTGAGGACTCTCCACCGAGATCATCTGTTGCCGATCGGAGACGGTGTGAGAATT